TCACATAAAGCTGTGTACTGAGTTGTCTTACAGAATTACAAAGCATTAATTCTTATAGTATTATAAAATTTTCCCTTAGGGAAAAAAAGTGAAGAAAAAAGCAATTATTTTGAAAACAATACCTGCAAAGTGAGCAGTAAACAGAATTCATTATTTTGATGTTCTGGGTTCTGATCAATGTCACTGTCACACTTGCTGTTTACCTGCTTTTGAGTTGTAATTAGAATTCAGTGGCTTTTCACAGCCTTTGTTCCTTATGTGAACATGGGTTGTTGGTTAGTTAACCTGTTCTTCTATTAAAGCAGATATGTTTGCTCAAATAAAACAATCTGACAGCTTATTTAGTTTCAGTTCTGTCTCTAGTTTTTACATATTTCAGCTCTAAAAAATTAGAGCTGTTCCTGACTTTAACTGACATTTATTATCACCTGCTGCTCTGAGCAGCCCACCAGAGCTACAGAGGCAGTTTCATTCTGCAATTCTAGGGGAGAACAAAGCAGTATTTGAAAGTAGTGCCTCTTTCATTTGATTGTAAACTTGTGACTGTGATCTTGATCTTTAAAAGAAATGTTACACTAAACTTTGTGCCTAAAATGGTTTTGATCCATAAACCTTCAAAGGCATGATAAAAAGCTGAATCTAAAACAGGCCTTTTTATATGTAATATATCCTTTGCAGGGTCTAATTTTTTTGGTATTATTCTACAAAAGAAAAAGTATGTAGGGTTAATACTTTCACTTGAATTACAGGCAAGAGATGAATCTCTTCTTTTAAAAGGTTTTTTCTTTCCTGAAATACGCTCCTGCAAACATAGTGAATCCAGTTGCTTTTTTGTTATCCTTTTTTTTTTTCCCTTTTTTTTTTTTTAAGATAGTAGTTCTCCTACTGCACTGTAATAGGCTGAGAATTACTGTGAATCAAAAAATGAAAGTGTTCTATGTAGCCAGTGTAATGGTACTTCAGTCTAATGAAGAGTACTTCTGTTTCAGTGATAATGGGAACACAAGGAGAAACCTGCAAGAGTAGTGCAAATTACAGCAGTTTACCCATTCTATTCACCATGCTGTTCGTTTCACTTCCATCTGTTCATGCAGCTGTACAAATTTCTAACAGTGGCTATTTCTGACAGCATACTGCAGCACAACTGTAAGAAACTACAGTGTGATAACCTGGTGCTGTTTTGAGAGGACTGGCATAACATCTTCCATGCTGATACAGATGATGTAATAGGAGCATGTTATTGTCAGTGCTATTATTGATATTGTACAGACTACAGCTCTGATGGTTGTGGTGGGTTGACCTTGCCTGAATGCCAGGTGCCCACCAAGCCACTCTATCACCCCCCTCCTCAGCAGGATGGGGAGGGGAGAAAATAAGATAGAACAAAAACCCCAAACTTGTGGGTCAAGAAAAAAGGCAGTTTAATGGAAACAAAGCAAAGCTGCACGCGCAGAAGCAAAATTTGTTCTCTACTTCCCGTCAGCAGGCGATGTTTGGCTGCTTCCTGGGAAGCGAGGCTTTGTATAAGTAGTGGTTACCCTGGAGGACAAACGTAAATAACGAATGCCCTCCTTTCCCCCTCCATTCCCCTTGCTTTTATTTCTGAGCAGATGACATATGGTGTGGAGTATCCCTTTGGTCAGTTTGGGTCAGCTGTCCTGGCTATGTCCCCTCCCAAGACCTTCCCCAACCCATCCTACTGGGGTGGGGAAGGTCTTGTTGGAGAGACAGCCTTGGTGCTGTGCAAGCACTGCTCAGCAGTAACCAAAACTCTGAGGTGTTATCAACACCTTCCTAGCTACTAATACAAAACACAGCATTCTGAGGGCTGCTGTGAGGAAAATCAACTCCATCCCAGCCAGACCCAATACAATGGTGTGAGTATATTGACACTACATAACCTAGACTATGTCCAGCATATTTATAAATCTGATTTATAAGAACAATAAAGAATTCCCACTCAGACACACTTGCTGGCCAGTATTTGCAATTCTTCATTGGCTGTATTATACAGTATACCGTGGCCAAGTACCAGGAAGAAAACCATGCCAAGTTCTCCATTTCCCCGGTGTAATCCCTCTTTGTAGTTCAGCAGCCTTTGTAACAGCTTGCAGCTTGTGTAGCATTCTGAACGTAAACATGTTCAAGTTGTTTCAGACCAAAGACTAATTTCATCTTTATATTGCAGCTCACGTCTAGAACTTACTCCAGTATTGCCTTTCCACTACTAACAGGTTATCATACCATATTTATTTTGGAAGCAATTCAGCATGCACACTTGTTGTTTATATATCATGCTGGAACTGTGCAATTGGACAGTGAAAAAGCTGTTCCTCACAGAAACAATATGGCCCAGTTAATAATCTCAAGTTATCTTGCGTTCTCCATGCTCATATTCTTCCAACTAAAACAGTATAAACAGCATGTCTGCGACATTGTTAACCATATCTCAACATAGATTAAAACTAAGAGATTAGAATATGGGAAAGATATTAAGATATTAAGATACCAGATAAGTGTATAAAAGAAGAAATGCAAACTATGCAGAATATCCATTTCAATTTGTCAATTGCTTAATTAACAGGAGGAGGATCAGTCAAGTTTTTCTGGTTATGAGAACACAGGAGGTGAGTTTCTTTTTCAGAGTCATTTACCATTTAATTTTGAAACCTTTGATTTCTTCTTGTATTTAAATAGTTACTTAGAAGGTAAAGTGAGTTCAGGTTATTTATATTGTGCAAGTTACGTCTCAAAGGATTTTTATCATGTGAATTCTGTTTGAATGCCAGTTAAAGCTTGTAAACAACATTTCTCTTCACACTCTTTAGGCCAGTGGATCCAAAATTATTGGAGAATATTACTGTTAATCGTCATCAGATCTCATAGGTGTTTTCAGAAATTGGCAGTTATTAAAAGCTTGTTGGAAAGTATGAGCTGCTAAGAGTCTAAGGAATGAAAGGATTAATCAAAACCTTTTATGGCTAATGATATTTGTAATAAGAGATGTACACGCCACATAGTAAAAACCAACACTGTATGCAGTAAATTAATGTGTCTTGTAAATAATTAATTGCCTTCTGTACTGGTATAATCAGGCCAGTGACTGGGACTGAGACTAGAAGGAACTGCTTTTTAAAAAATACAGTGTCAGTAAAAGGCAAAGCTGTAGTGCATATATTAGTTTGGGGGCTAAAATAAGAGCACCACCTAGATTTAATTTAAGATTACTATTATTATTTGGCTGAAGGTAAGGCTCAAGGGAATTTAAGACTGTCTCTCAGATATAGTGCACTGAATGTAAAATCTGAATGGGGTGTGGACAAACTTCTGTAGCAATTATAATGTAATAACATTCAGGGAAGAATGCAATGGATGCTCAGGAGGCACATTATTACATCAAGACACATCTGCTTCTCTCCCTCCCTACTGCCTTATTTTCTTTCCCTTTTTTTAAAAGGGTAATTTTCAGGTAAAATATTTTTAACATACCTGCAGCGAGAAGTATAAAACTGGGGGATAAATAGGCTTGTGGAATTCCTTTTGGAATGCAGAGCATTAGAGCAGAAAGTAAATGTAGTAAAATCAGATCACCTTGCACAAGTGTGGAAAGTAGCTAAGATTAAAATTAGTAGCTCTTGCCAACTAAAGAATTTTTATTTTCATTTCAGACTTTTCAGAAGATCTGAAGAAATCAAACATGATTTTTGTAGTTGGTAAGTAGGATTCCTAATGTAACTGCTACATTTTAAAATCACCATGTTACCTAGTTTGTATTGGAAGTATATGATTTCTTTTAAAGTTTAGCAGAACAGTTTGGTTAAGAGTGTTTACACTACAATGGTGGTTTGGTCTTTCGAAAGGGAGTTGGGGTTTAATATCATGTTATTAACCTGGGTCTGACCATGCTAACAGCAGTTGTGTCAAGCTCAGAGCAAGAGTTATGTTTAAGTGTGATCAGGTTCAAAATTACCTCACTTCTTGTGCAGTTACAGTAGTGCTGTGTGTCCTCCCAGCAAAGCTACCTCACCAGCATTAGTTAAAATGTTACTAGATTGGATTTCTAACTCAGATTTTTAAGCGGAAAAAACCACAAACATGCCTGTTCACCTCTTCATTTGTGAAACAACTTTTGTACATACGAGTTTCTATTCTGCATGTTCTCAACGTGCTGTTAAAAAAAAATAAAAATCAATGGGCTAGTCACAGTCCGTGGTGCTCAGCCCACACCGAGGCTTTGCCAGTTCAAGGTCTACTTTATATTTGCTTTCTGGAAGTCCACAGAGGAAAATCACCATGTTAATGCCCATTATTATACAAGTGTGACTACTGTAATTAGCATGAACTTTGAACAGCCTTTTAAAACAAATTATAACCAGAAAATTTACAAGTTTCAGCTTGGTACTAGTTACTTGGAAAGAATAATTGCTTTTGTTTCAAGCAGAATTTTTCAGAACTGCTTTACAGTACAGAGCAGGAACAGCACATTTCCAAGGACGTAAGGATAGATACCCAAACGTGAGTAATTTCACATAAGAGCAAGGCACTTTTTACATTGTTTTTCCTAAGGGGAAAAAAAAAAAGTGACTTCTGAAATTAGTCATAAATGAATAGAAGTTTCATTCAGGATTCAGAGGTATCAAAAAGCATTCCGGTACCAGCAGGTTGAGGCAGGTGATCTTTCCTCCTTATTCAGCACTGGCAAGGCTGCATCTTGAGTACTGTGTCCAGTCTGGACTCACCAGTACAAGCAAGATAGTGACTTTATTGGAGTGAGTCCAGCGCAGAACCACAAAGATGTTTGAGGGACAGGATCCTCTTTCACACAAGGAGAGGCCGAGAGGTGGGACTCTTCAACCTGGAAAAGGGAAGACTCCAGGGGATCTTGCCAATATGTATCAATACCTACTGGGAGGTAGGACTTCATTGGCTACCCTCAACGAAGATTAGGGAGCCAGAATCTTTTCAGTATTGCCCAGTGACAGGACAAGAGAAAATGGGGACAACTTAAGCATCTGAGCACAAGAAAACACTTTGTTGTGAGGATAGTCAAACACTGGAACAGGTTCCCCAGAAAGACTGTAGAGTCCTGAACAACCTACTCTAGCTGACCCTGCTGCAACAGAGGTGTTGGACTAGATGATCCCAAAAGGTTCCTTCCAACCTAGAGGATTTTGTGAAAAGACAGCATGTTTAGGTGTTGTACTTTTATCTCTATCTTATACAGAACACAAACTGACTCAATTTATTGCAAACCTATGGTGGATATTATGTTTTTGGAAAACTTAGGTTACTGAAGAGTTCATTGGAGACTTTTATTAAGTGAAAGATGCATAACACTTAATTTTTCAGTCTTTAAGCAAACTGTAATTCCATGCTTACTGAAGTACATCTTCCTGCTGTTGGCTACAGTGACAAATTTTCATTCTCACTGCCTGACATATCGTATTGGAAAATTATGTTGGGGTTTGTACAAACAGAGATTTAAAAAAAAGTGGACATGCTCAAGGAATTTTGCCTCTGAAATTGTCCATGATAAGGCTTATTTTTCATTTATCTCTGGAGTCTCTTTTTCAAAAAGTAGTTTTTAATTTTCACTTCTAATTTTTATAGGCCATCTACTATCCATCTTCCAGTTTAAAACTGAAAACACACCTTTTCCCTATTTATTCCTGCTTTTAAATCTATCTCAGACATTCTAATAAATGCTTTCTAAGAAGAGAGGAAAATTCTGCTTAATCAGAAGTCTAAGTTGTCTTTGTTGAAAAAGTTATAATGAAAAGCTTGACTAAGTCCAAACATGGGTTACTTGTCAACAAGTTATGTAGAATGATTTATACTTTTTCCCCAAAGTGTCCCTTCTTTCCCCATTGTCCCACCCCTGAAAAAGCTTCTTGAAGTCTGATGTGAAGAGTAAGGATATATTTTATCTGGATTTTGTTTGGGTGGGGTATTTTTTTTTTTATTATTTGCTTGGTTTTTGTGATCGACATGAAATGCTCACACTTGCTTATTTGGCTGCAAAATCTTGATTTTACTCCATCTAGGCAGTGAAGGTGAATGGTATTTCCTAGAGACAGATTTCTTGCTGGTGGTAGATTAGAGTGGCCACAAGTGTTTGGTTTTGGATTTTTGTTTTTTTACTTATGGCCTTTTCAGGCAGGTAAATCTGCCTGAATCACTTGCTGACCCTTGTGCACTCCAGGTCTAACACTTACACACTAGCCAAATGCATGCCATTTGCCTAGGCAGTAAAGTTGTTTTACATATCAGTCAGGAGCTGAAGTTTGATCCATGTGAACTGTGCAACAACAAAATAAAACTTTGAAGAAGCCTCACAGGAGTGGAACAAAACTGTCAAGCTTGGTGGGGGAGGAGGACTGGGGGGAGAAAGAAAAAAAACAAAACAAAAAAGAATCACAGATTCTAAGTGGCTAATACTCCATTGCAGTGACAGCACTGGGAATGGTCAGGCCATGATACCTTGGCTAGAAAGAAAGCAGACAAGATGGGTTGGAATATCCTGCTGTTGATATTTGAATGGGAAAAACTGTGTCAATCTCAGGTGTCATTAGGAATGTTTACTCATTACATAGATGTATTCATGAGGAGATAAGATACTTGTAAAAATGTTTTAAAACTAGAGTTCTAGAGATGTGCATTTGCAGTAGTTTACAAACTAATTGAAATAAATGCACCATCTGCCATAGCTGACAAATTGAGATACTGTTTATAAGACAAGGGGGAAAAAGCAAACAATTCCCTCCCCTACTAATTTCCCTTGAAAATTGTCCAAAAGGGAAAGAAAAACAAAATAATCTAATTAGCAAAGATTTACATTAGTGCTAATGTAGGAATTAATTGGAATAACAGTCAACTGTGATTAATTAAGCAACAATGTCAATCTTTTATCCAGACAGCAAAGCAGAGACATAGAACCAGCAAGTTGAAAATATGGGAGATAACAACAGGGTAATCAAAGAGGCAAAACCAAGTTAAATTTGGCCTGTAAAGTAAAATCCAAGAGAAAAATAAAAAATTAAACAGATGCAATATTTAGGCAGTGCTCTAGTATTCAAAACTTATCTAACTATTGCCAGTCACTAAAAAAAAAATTAACCAAAGAATAAACCTTTTCAATCAGAGCAACATGAAAAGTAAAATCTTAACCAGGATGAGCAATATATGATTTTATCTTTCTTAACTAACATGATACTCCATATCACATCCAGAAAATTGTCATATGTAACAAAGATACTGGGAGCATTATCCCTCCATATCCTCTGCAGGAGTTTCGTAAAACATAACCACATTTGGCTCTGATTGAGGCTGAAACTGAAGCAGAAAGTTTTCAAGAATCTTTCTGCGCTTTGGATCAGAAACAAGCTCCCTGCTTACTCTTAAATGGAGTGTTTAAAACTTAAGTCAATGTATGCAATTTCCTCTGTAGAATCCTTCTTATGTTCTTGCTGATAAACCAAAGCTGATGATGGTTTAAGCTCAGTGTAAATAAGGCCAGCTTTTCAGCTGACACAGAAGATATTATTGCCACCTGCACTTACAGGGAAAACGTTATCAGCTGCAGTCACTAGCTTCTTGTGCTTACAACAACAAACCAAAACAAAACCAAAAAAACCCCAGACCCACAAACCTCAAAACTCCCTATTTGTCTGAGGTATGTCAGACAACTGACGTACTTGATCTAAGCATCTGAACAACTTGATCTAACCGAATTTAGCACTGCTTTGAGTGTTTTACCAGATGAGATCACTTACAACCTAAATTATTCTACAATACCTGTATTACAGCTCCTTCTACAATCAGACAGGCATAGGATCAGCAGTGCTGATAATTAAAACCCCAGTCAGTCCAAGTGCTAACTGTAGAAGCTGATGAAAGCTGCTTTCTCTAACTTTCCATGAAATGATCACCATGTTTTCTTTAAGAGGGATGAAAACTCATTGGTGTCGCAGGACATCACATCACTCTGCCAACATGTGCTCCAGGTTTGTTTCTATTGAGAAGCCTTCAAATGCCATGTTCTGCAGCTAAGGCTTATTTTTATTTGTATAAATAATTCAAGTAGCATTGATAGAATTGCCAAACTGATCAAGTCCTCCAAAATCATAGCTTGAATATAAGGATAACTTGACTGGTGTTAATTTGATTTCAATTCTGACTCCTGAGGCTCCATTGTGCAGCTAGGTTTCCCCTACAATCACTTTTCCATGATCCAGAGATGATACTCATTATGAAAACAAGGTCTAGAAATTGAAACATTTTAGAATGAATAGTGGGACTCTCCTGTAAATCCTACTGCTGGCATTTTATGTAAATGTTCATAGTATTTTGGTATAAAACAAACTCATAAGATTTGGTAAGTTTAAAACAGAGACATCTCAGTCTGTCTGTATGACAGTTCTGCTTTATTAATATTTCTGGCAGTAAAGTCAGTTCACGTACTCCTCACATTGCTTGGTCCTGTCCCTGCTCACTCCCAGTGGCTGTCCCAGCTCCCTCTAGCATCATTAATTCATCTTCTTGTGATGTTGTGCTCTAGGCCAGACCAGTGCATTTGAATCACATGCCTAGGCTTGCAGTCTTTCATAGTCTGGGGGCAATTGGTGCATGAGGGAAACCAGATGTAAGAGACTCGAATTCTTAAACTGAGATCTTTCACTGATCTAAGGCAGGCTGCAGTGAAACATTCTGAAGTGCTGCTTGGGCAGTTGTCATTGCTCCCTTCTCACCGAGATCACTCTTTTTCTCCCCTTGAAGTGCTCTTTGTGAAGCATTTCTGCAGTCAATAATTAAACGGGGAAATGTGACCACCTAAGTTAGCATTGCTACCAGAAAGTTATTTACCAGAAGATCCCCTTACAGTTTCACAGGCAGCTGAATCAACATAATGGAAGGGAAAACTGTGCTGAAGGAGTGAATGGACCTTTTAATCCAGCCTTATCTACAGAAAAGCAATATACAGAATTGTATTTCATTTCTATGCTCTATCTAGTACCTTGGTTCCAGATACTTACTTACTGTTTGTATCAGAAAGCACAAAGGGACACACAAAGGATTCGGTTTCCAAGGGTAATCCGACTGATACAAAGTGTTTATATGCCTAATCTGCAATTTTCTGTTAAATTAATGAATGAGCTTTAAAGCAAGATGTACTGCACTTAGCAATGCTAACATAATACAGAAGTATGCTAACATTGAAGAACTGCTGGTAGTTCTACATTCTCCTACAGCTTACAGGTCACAGCACAACAGTCATTTTCTAGGCTTTAACTCTTTATCTTTATGTCATATGAAAATCAAAAGACAACATGATTAATCTGAATAGCAAGTTACTATGAATCAGTCCGTCACTGGTTTTCCAAAATATATGTAGGCAGAGTAAAAGATGTCAGCATACAGAAAAATTACAGTGTTCACAAAGAATCTTACGCCTTCACAACAAGAGTGGGGACGTATTTTCCTCCTCCTAACAATTGAGCCATTGGGAAAACATCACTACTTTTTTTTTTTTTTTTAAAAATGCATAGATTTAATAAAGGGACCATCTAAAAGAACAAAATACAGCAGTACAAAATGATAGTAAGCCTCACAACTGCAGGGTTAATTTACTGTTAAAGCTGCTTACGTAGCAGTCCTATAAGTCTATGACTTGAGCAGGAAGGAAGTATCTAATTAGTAAGGAAATGCACTTTCATATTCTTTCCCACCTAAATAGTTCTTTTCCAGTCACATTAAATACTGGCCTTCAGACGGAGACAAGACTAACTAGCACTTGAACTTCAGGCATGTAAATTAATACTAGTGTAAATGCTGCGTATGTGTTCAGCCCTCAAAGCTGAATTTCCTCAGGGGCATTCAGCTTCTTCTAAGATCAGGCCAAACAAAAATGCTATCTCATGCGTCAACAAGAAAGCACAAGACTTCGTAAAGTGGGTCATATACATTTACCAAGCAGTAGGATGCTTTGCTACTCATCAAATGATGCTAAGTTAATAGCAGTGGCCATAAAAATTGCCATTTTCAGCACATAAGGATTATTTAATTATGTCTTTTCCTCTTTAAAGATCTCAGCATTTTAATCTCAGCTTTGTTGGAACTCTTCTATGAAGAATAAACATGGTCAATTTTAATTAATGTTTTCAAGGGACAGTAACTCTCATTATGTTGTATGCCTTGCATATTGTGTCATTCTGACAGTGTTCTTTTTTAAATTACTAACAGATAGAAACACATCAACTTTTCTGAACATTTACCTGCTAAACAACCAAAAATTGTCATTGTATTGTTATTTCTAAACAGAGATCTAGTTTACTTAGTATATGAAGGGACATTATGAAATTTCTGTTTCAGCTCTACTTACACAAGAGAAACAGTTATGTAAGAAACAGAATAATCTTTGTAGCTGTTTCTTTCTAATACTGTGTATATACACCAAATAAATAGGATGAAATTACTGCACTGCTAATATATTCAAGGCCAAGAGACAGAATGTGTAGACAAACTTACTGTTCTAAAAAACTAAAACAGACCAGAAATAAAATTAACTGCCACTACAGTTATTTAACTGTCTCATTACAGATAATTTGCCTATAATTTCTCTGCATCTATTTCTCTGTAGCCACTCTTGTTTATTCCTTGCTTTCTTTCAATTGGTGCTTTAACAAGAGTATTGTTCTTCCTATTAAAGCAGTAGGAGAACAACATGCAAACCACATTGTCAAGAAAATGAAACTAACTGTGACAAAGATACTTCTAGTTAGAGTCGTAGCACAAATGTGGTTCTCACACCATGGGCTGATAATTGTCTTTGTGAAGCTGAAGTAAAATACTCCAGGCTACAGCAGAGGAAGCCATTCCTTCTTATTCTCAGCTACAGTACTTTAACTTATCTGAAAATCATATTCTCAAAGCAATTATTTCTTAAGTTGAATGCAAAAGTTAGAAGAAAGTTCGAGTCAGGCAGAGATGGTGCCAAATTCATGCTGTTGTGAACATGTTATTCTTATATTTGTTCGTGGAAAGATAAACAAAAAGGAAAAACACGTATTTTCTAGCATCTTAAATCCAAATAATAGAACTGTATAGTCATATTTTCAAGTCCCAACAGTTGATAAATACTCAAGTCACATGCTTAAAAAAAACATTGAAAAGAGGAGAGTTCTTTTCATCTTGGCTTGGCCTCTTGATTTTTGAGCACTGTCTCCCTACAAGGGTATAATTACCTCCTACTGCAGTAGATCTCTTGAATAGATCCATCACAGATTGTAAAAATGCTGCTGTACACCTTGAAATTTTTCCCCAAATCCTGATATTGTCACAACAGAAGTCGGCTTTCCTGCCCTGCCCCAGCCCCAGCACCAACATGGCCCCCAGCCCTCCCAGCCTGTTCAGCCCTCCCAAGGAGCTCACCTCAGCTCTGCCAGCAGCTCTGGAGGCCACAGCCACAGGAATGGGATTCCAGAGAAGCATCTTCCAGCAATTTTCATGGACTGCCCGTCTCTCCAGCCAGGCTGGAGCAGCTGCTGCTGCTGCTCAATGAGCAGCTGAAGAGGCATTTGCTGTTTCTGAGGGTTGGCCTTCAGGGTGAGGAAGGAAAACCAGCCACCTCCATTAAGGAGGTGGGACACGGCAATGCCAGCACCTGCAGAGTGAGGAAGTGTCCAGAGCCTCTGAGATAGCTCCAGAAAAAGGGCACTTGCCAGAGTTTTGAGACTCTTGAGGTGGCAGCAGCTCTCTTGTTGAAGGAAGCAGAGAGGCTTGAGGTGCCATTTCTATCAGGAAGACACCTACAGCCTTCACCTGAGCATTCCTTCCACCCTCTGTCTCCTCACAGGCCCCCGGGAGATGTGAGCACCCAGCCTGCAGCTGCAGGGAGGTCCTTCCCTTCAGCCTGTGGAAAAATCACTTGAGCAGCTTCACCTGAGCACCCTGTGGGCTGAGACAGCCCTTCACCCCTCTGGCTCTTTGACTCTGGGCCTGGTTCAGATATGGTTTCCAGCTCCAGTTGTGGGTGTAGGAGGGCGGGTGGTGGCAAGGAAGGTCTCCATGTGCCCTTCATTGCTGAGCACTTTACTCTGACACCTCCCTGCAGCATCCATGAAGAGCAAGCCAGTACGGCAGCTGCAGGGAGCAGCACAACCGAGCCTTTGTCAGCGTTTAGCAGCTCCAGTACCTGGCTCTTGGTTATCGACAGACACACCAGCACGCGAGAGCTCTCCAGCTCACAGGGAAAGGGTGCAAGCACAGTGAAATTTTGCTTTCACATTTACCACGGTGCAAAGGGGTTTAGTTACTGTACACCTGTGCACATTCCACATAATGGAGGCAGGTTTCACCATCTCTTTGCCCATGCTTTCACATTTCACAAACGGGGGGCAAAATATTTTCCTCCCAAGGATGCAGTGAACATTAGTTGCTAATATTTGTTGCAGGTATCAAGCGAAACATATACTGAGTCAAATACCCTTCCCCACTGGCTGTCTGTTTCATGTTTTTCCTTTACATGGTAATAGGGTTTTAGAAACAGGTTCTCTTCTGCAAGAGATTTCATAATGTTGTGACTCCTTCAACTTTGGTACACATTTTTGAGTCAGCAGGGTAGTGTATTGGAAGGGCAGCACATGACTTGTTCTACCGTATAAAGTGTCTTTGACCAAAAAAAAAAAAAAAAAAAAAAAAGATGCAAAATAGGCAGTCTCATCAATTTCCTCCCATTTTCTTGGTTGCTATATTTTGAGAAAAGGCAGATATTTATTCTTTTCTAATTCAAGATATTTTTCCCTCACACAGGTGGCCCTGGCTCTGGCAAAGGTAGCCAGTGTGAACAGTTAGCCAAGAAATACGGATTTACTCATCTGTCCCCTGGTGACCTTCTCCAAAATGAGTTATCATCATTGTCAGAGAGAAGTAAATTGATCAAAGACATCACGGAATGTGGTGAACCTGTGCCTGGCGTAAGCAATGGTTTTATTTGGAGCCCTAATGGTTAAACAAAGGCAGTGGTAGGTAGATTGTCTAAAAGGGTGGAAATAAGAGACAAGAGCTGGTGATTGCCATTTAAGTAAAATTAATCTGCAACTTGAAGCATAAGTTTCCTCAATGACAGATCTGTGGCACTTCTTTATCCCTTATATGCCAGTATTTCTTTACATTTCAGACTCACATAGGAAACAGCTTAGTCATGAAATACAGTGAGACAGGTGCTGTGCTATGCATTGCAGAATGTAAGAATAAGTACAGGAAACAGAAACTTTATGTCCATTTTATAGCTTCATATTTCAGATTCAGAGCTGGTCTTCCTGGCAGCTGTTCTAATTTACAATACCTATAGCAGTTCCCTGCAGAGCTGGCTGACATCCCAGAGCAGTTGGACTGCAGTTTAATGGAGACTATGAAGATAGACTGTGGTGTTGTCAGCTGGACTTGACTTTTACATGGCAGGTCCACAGCCCCAACTCTTGGTGGGCCTTCAGCAAGTGCAGCTAGATTATAGGATGCATTTATTAATGAAAGTTACTGGGAAGTGCTGCTTAGGGGAAACTAAAGCTGAGGCTTGATTTTGATTGCTTTGCTCTTCAGTGTTTGGTGTTTGGTCAGATGGGTCTCTTACCACTTTCCGTGTAATATAATTATATCAATGACATAGCAAAATGCAATCAGATGGGAAGGTGTACTCCAAAGTTGCACAGGTATTAACATTAATTTTGAATCTGTGAAATATTCTCAGCTATCTAGAGGACACTTTGGGAACTCTTGGATGGGTTGCAGCACTATATTTGTTTAGCATAGCTGGTCCTGAGAGAAGAAGAAGTAGGGTGCCCTGCTACCTACAGGACAAGAAAAACATCTGCATTCACAGGACCTGCTTTTAGTAAAACAAGGCAGTTCTCTAGGGCGTAGGACTAAAGTCAGTGTAACAAACAAAGTTGTCAATCTTTCTTATTAATTACCAAGTAACTCTCTTTGCAATGCAGGGTATTGTCCTAGAGCTACTGAAGGAAGCCATGGTTTCCAAGTTAGGGGACACAAAAGGATTCTTGATCGATGGGTATCCCCGGGAGCTGAAAGAAGCAGAAGAGTTTGAGAGCAAGGTGACCATATAATTGTAATGTTGTTGTAACTCCTATTAAGATACAACTGTACTTCTGATGCTGCTTGAGTCCCTGTCTTTAGCTGATTGCAATGAGATTGCATAAAGAGCCAATCCAACAGAGTTGTGCTGCTGATCACTGAAACTTTGGCACCCCATCAATATAGCAACTCCAGCTTTTGCCCTCACCTACACAGACTCTGTAATATCAGGAAAAATAAAGACTGATTTTACTCAAATTTAATGTAAACCAGGAACAATTCACATTTAGTGGAAAGCACCATTTTTAGAATGTTTCTTATTCCAGTGGATGGCTGATATACTCATGAAAATCTCATCAAGCACTAATTGATGTACATTCATGAAAGCACCTACCTTCACAGTTAATATCTCTTACTGTTTTGCCAACCCTGGTAAAGCTTGCTGCCACTTTGAAACAGCAAAACACAGATTAAATTTTTGTGATGAGTATCAGGTGGCATAGACATAAAAAGAGCGTTTTGCAAGTGACTGCATGGCAGTTCAGAGCGTTATCAGTTTCCTCAATATGTGCTAAGACCTACTGAGAAGTCTCAGCTGTACATTTCTCAATCTGCAGAAAATACTCTATATAAGCCTCATGCATGAATTTGCCAGGGTTTAGGAGAAAAGAAGTGGTGAACTAGGGGAAATAGTTAAGTATATATTCTGTCATATTACACTCCACAAATGTCCTACGTGCATTTGGAAGGTTATAAAACTTTATTGAATCATCTGTTTTCTCCCTGAACCTTTAGCTGCTTATTTAGTTGATTACCATAAAAGCCTACAAGATTTAGGCATCAGAAGCTGGACAAAATAATGGGCAATAGGATTTGCTATAGAAGCCATTCACAGAGATGTTGATATATTAGTTCCTTTACTAAAATGCCACAGACTATTAAAAAGTCCTGGGGATTTCTTCATTTTGTGTAGAAGAAGAAACTATTTCAGCAGTGCTGCTTTTCTGGCAGACATATGTGTCATGTCCTGTGAACACTGTTGTGTGCTATAAAGTAGGACTTAGAGATTGGAGTGTCCTGGACTGAGGCAATGCCAGGCAAATAAGTCTTGATGCATCCAGTGCAACAGCAAAGCCCCTTTCAGTTCCTGTAGACACTGTAGCAGCAAAAGATCCTGTAGTCCTGAGCTGCCTTTGGCACTTGGATTAAAATACAAGGACCTCAAGTGATAATTTTGACTGTGCTAAGTCATCCCTGTTGTATCCATGTATCCACTTCACTTTTCACAGGGTGAACTTAGCTGGCTGTAAGCGGCTCAGTAAGTCTGTGAAGCTTTTTTTAAATGAGTCATTACTGAGATAATGCTTTATAGTTCTTTCTAAGGGGCGATTATAATTGAATGAAAAGAGGTGGACATCAGGCTTTATTAATTAATGGTGTCAAAGTGCAAATGAATAATGCAACATATCTACATGATGTGTAAAAAGCATTATAATTGTTAATGAAGAGCTGTTCTATGTAGAAGACATCAGGAATAGTGCTTATACTTAAAAGCTTGACAGCCCTAAATAGATTTAGCTATTTAGAAACAGCTTATTCTCCAGCCAGTTTTGCCCAATTCTGTTCTATGATATAATTGTACTTTAGCTAGCCATAATTGTAGAGAAGCTCATGTCTCTCTTCCCTCCTCAGGCTTTCTTCTAGGTGAGAAGTAGAAAACAATATTAAATTGTAAGTTCCATATCATCAGGTGGAAGATACCCAATAAAATAGAGTAAAGACCCAATACATTAGACTTGTTTGGCTTCCTGCAGATGTCCCCTCAGCATGCATTATTTAAGCTAAATTGTGTAAGTAAAACAGTAATTAAAAAGAAAAAGTAGTAAAAAATGCTGTAGTGACTGATAGAAGCATTACTTTTTGCAGTTTTTAACTGGGAAGAATTAAATTTCTGTAACATTTTGAATTCCACAGAATAGCTACATTGAAACTTGTAAGAGAACCATAGATTTTTCAAAAGCAATCGGACTCATTATGTCAAACAAGAAACTGTTATCTGGTCCTACCAGTCAGTAGACTCCTTCATATCCCCATTGTAAGGTGATGGTATAACTGATGAAAGGAATCATTCCTCATTTATTCTATTATAATTTAGAACAGACCATGGAATTCCTCATCTGGAGCTAGGAGGAAATAACTCACCATCCTGGTCCAATTATACAAAAAGGATGTTTGTTTTAATCATTGATTTAGCCGAGATCTTTTTAACTTTTCAATCTAAGTGTTTTGCACTGTTAAAACTGCCTTGTTGGCTTTTTTAATCCCAAAACCCAATACTGCTGCTGCTAATAGCATTAGTGTTTTCTGGGCTGTGTGGAAAAAATGGATGGATAAAAGCCTGTCATTGAACTGTCTGACATAATCCTTTGGCTTCAGCTGTCTCTTAGAAAGTCATTAAGGTAGTAGAAAGGTCAACATAATCCAGGTATCCTCAGTCAAATGAAGGCCTAACATGAAATATTTACCTTTAGAATATTTCTTCCTTTAAGGGCTGTCAACAAAGGTAGCAATGGCAGTTTCCATATAGCCTTGATCCTGAATACTGAGACCTCTAAGTGCTGCTACAATAAGAGGTGTTTGTTAATAAGCATAATTTCTGCATAGACAAATATGAAAGTAATTTGCTAATAAATTCCTTGCTTACTCTTTTGGTAGCATTTCTTTTTAAAGTTATCCAAACTAAATCAGTTTTACCAGGCCAGTGGCCGGAATACTTATTGTTTTTATTTGCCTCTAGATTGGGGAACCAAAACTTGTGTTCTGCCTGGACTGCTCTACAGAAACCATGACCAGTCGCCTTCTGATGAGAAATCAGAGCAGTCAGCACTCTGATAACACTGAAACCATCAAGGAAGGAATTGAAAGTTATTACCAAGCATCAAAACCTTTGATTGCATACTATGAAAGGAAGACACAGTTATGCAAGGTAAATTGCTTGACCTTTTGAATTAAATTATGGCTTTTTACTTCCTTTATTTGAGCAATATTTGGAAAATACTGACATGACACGATTTATGAACTGTATTAGTTTCTGTATTTTCCATTTTGTTCCCATCTGACACTTCCATGCTTTGTTTGCAACTTCTACAAACTTCTGAGTTCCATAGTACAATTTGAAAGAATAAAAGCCTAGATTTATCCTAAGTCTGAGAACACAGTCATTAAGAATTCTCTTTGCTTTACTTGCACAGAAGGACAAACGTATATGGTTGTAACAGCATTCCCATTTTAATCAATTACAATTTTATGACCTTCTCTAAACCTAGAGTTATTGTGCATAGAGCCATTCATAAATAACTAATAAGATATTAGAAATTGAACATTTTTGCATTCTGCTGACCTCTGAACAAGAACAGTGACCTGATGAAGCTGCCAAAAGATCAGGATTCTGAAATTTCCCTTTGACCAAGATTACCTGTCAGTGTTTCTGCTCAGCAGTGGAAGCGTGACGCATGCATGAAGGGTGGAGAATTTGGGTGCAGATGAAACATTTGTGAACCTGACAGGAATAAATAACAGTGATCCTTCCAGCCACCCAGCTGAGATGAAAAACTGATGTAACTCATGGGAATGTATTTACAAGGAAAGATAAACTGACTGAAGAATGCAGGTCAAAGAATGACAGTGTCCTCTGCTCACTTTTCTGCTAAGGCACTAATATTCCAAATTGTGTTCTGGAAGGTAGAGTAGTTGTAACAGTAAGTTAGAAATTTTCCAATTATTTTTTTAAAAAATCATGTTTTGGGTATATAGTTTAATATTCCATAATTTCTTTCATAGTCAGTTATAGATCACCCACCTGCTGCTAAGGACAGCAAGTGGGTGCTTTTTAACAAAGACCTCATCTGAAAGTGCAAGGACTGAAAGCACCACTCACAAAAATGACAGTTGCAAGCTGCCTGATTCTGTGGGAATCAGATGTTTCAGATGAATGAAATGAAACAAAATGTACTGTGGTAGCTGTAGTAAGCAGGTAGATACTGTTGGTTTTAAATTTATTTCTCAGTGATTTCCAAGGCAGCTGGAAAGAAAAGTGCATCTGAAAATCTAGTAGACACCTAGTTGTGTTTTAACATGGCTAAATGCAAATACCTTTGAATATATGGCCTTCTGTCAATCGAGAAGAAAGAGAGAGAAAAAAATGATTGTTTTTAATATCTGACTCATCCTTTAAAGCTTTTTTCAAGTGACAGTATGTAGGAATGTAGTAAGTAATGGAGAAGAGCAATGCTTGGTAGCCAAGCAAGACAAAACTGATCCTACCTAGCTAGTGTAAAACATCTAGTAGGTGTCTTAAATACAAGTTCTCTTTTCAAAGTCATCTGAAGAAAAGGGGCATGAGTATAACAAATAAGGTAGGCAGTCCATAGCAGAGCATTTTCAAGGATATCCAAAACCTTCACTATTTCAGATCACACACTATGGAAGCTTAGCCTACAAAATTCAACCAAAATGCATTTCTTTTTCTGTTTCTGTTTCTTTCTCTTTCTTTTTCTTTTTTTCTTTTTCTATGGTGTTGTTCTACTGTTTCTTTCTAAAATCAGTTGAAGTCACATGCTGGGTAAGCAATACTTACTGGATTCTTACTGCAAACATTTTCCATAACCATTATGAAAGAACGAGTGACTATCCACTCTCTCACAGTCTTCCACTTCTGAGCCCTCCTATGCTGATCCCCTGTTAGAAGTTTCTCTGGGGAGGGACAAATGTGTACTTTTCCCTTTAGAGAAGGGATGATCAATGCTAATAGTGATAGCAGGTATGTAATTTATTTCTGTCTTTTGAAGGGTTGTCAGAGAATCATTAACCCTGGCAGGTAAGTAGGTGAGGAACAAAGGAACGAGTGTTTCTATGTCACTCCCCTTGGTGGCTTGTGACCCATTAGATGAGATACCAGCCTAGAAAGATACATCAGAAACATTAGCAGGCGATTATAGATAAAACACAATAGCAAATTCATGCCAAATGCAGATAGGTATCAGGGCAGCATGTTTCCATTGGATTTACAGCTTGATGCCTTGCTTGGAGAACCAGGTACTGCACTGTCTCAGAGAGGTTTTTGACGCTCTTTTTAAAGACAAAGATATGAATGTTGGTGACAACAGAGCTGAACTTCACTGACTTTCAAAAAGAAGCTTCTAATTAGTGAGTTTATTCCAGAGTCTCAGTGTATCTTTCTGAAAGCAGTGGTCCTCAGCCATCGTCTCTACAGACAGTTGGGTTTTTCTCAGTGGCAGTATACATTTAGGGTTCTAAATCCAAACCTACAATAAATGGAGATTTGATGACAGAAAATTTAATTGGCTGATTTTAATGCCAGAAGGAGTGACATTGTACTATGAAGATTATTGCTCCAGTCATTTTTCATATGAGCTCATTAAATTTCTCTGTATTTGAAGTTACCTAAAGCCATAGTGGCATTTGAAAACTGGAAGCACTATGGAAAACTGTATCTGGATCTTGCTTTTAAGAGAAGAAAGTAGCCTTGAATAACCTTGAAAACGGTCCTAATTTACAAGGTTTGTTACAATCTATGAAAGAGAAATACACAGTTTTCTCTCCTGGAGTTGCAGAGAATGTCACTGAATTACTGCGGTACTAGCTGTGAATTATTGTCACATTAAGTTAGTTTTGTGCCACGACTTTAAGTTAGTTTTATGAATTGGACCTTTGTTATATAGGAGGCCAGCATGGGAAGCACTGGGGCTATCATTAGTCACGCTCATCCATATTTTACTGTGACATTTAGGAAGGCAGTGTTTCAGCCAGTCATAAAGGGCAGCAATTTCCGTGCTCACAAACCTAATTCTTCATCACAATGGCCTAGATCTAGACCTGAGTATCAGTTACCAGTTCTAGAAGAGGTTGCCAAAAAGCCAGTGGTAGTCAGCTCTGCTGATGAGGTTAGATCAGTTATCCAGTGCAGATGTATTTATGAAACAAAGACATAATAAAAATACATATTAAGACAAGAGAGCTTTGAAATGGCTGTGGCCTTCACCCTGTGTGAAGTATATTTTCTGTGGGATAGATATTGGCTTAGCAGTTGAGACAGAAAAATAAGCAGCCTCATAGCAGCTGAAATGTGAGTTTCTAGTTTTATTCTAACTGGAGAAGGTTGGCATTTGGTTCAGAACAGTTCACCGTAGAATCACAGAATGGTTTGGGTTGGAAGGGACCTTAAATATCATCTAGTTCCAACCCCCCTGCCATGAGCAGGGACACCTTCCACTAGACCAGGTTGCTCAAAGCCTCATCCAGCCTGGCCTTGAACACTTCCAGGGAGGGGGCATCCACAGCTTCTCTGGGCAACCTGGGCTGGTGTCTCAACACCCTCACCATTCCCCTTTTCTCTTTGCTACTAGTAAGTAACCACTTCCTGAACCCTTTGTTTCTGTGGCATAGAAAGCTTCTGAAAGACATGCAGCCCTTGTTTAGAACTGACCTTTCTGAGGCACCACCTGCTGCTTCACAAACTGTTGCAGCATGTCCATACTTCAGCATTACACAAAGCAGCAATGTCAGCAAACACCGATGTGACAGCGAGCAAGGGAAGCAAGAGAACTGTGCTTCTGAAAGCTTGCCAAGAGGGGAGAGGATAGTTCAGCTCGGACTGTAAGATCCCCTTCCAGTGAGTCCAAGGGGGTGGAACCCAGTCAAGCATGGCTCCTTAAAGCTTGGCCAGGCTGGTCATTTCCAGTGCTGGAACTGTAGAGCGTGTGGAGGTAGACTGGCTGGGTGTGCCAGCACTTCTGACAGGATGCAACAAGGGACCAAACTTTGCAGCATCTGTGGGTGCCACCAAGAGTGAAACCAAGCTACAGAGCATGAATGCAGTCCCTTGCTGGATCTCTGCAAGGAGCAGCTGCTGACTCCCACACAGGACTTAGTACCGAGGGACTTGAATGTATATTGGGTGCAGTCAAACTGTACAGGAGCTGTCTGCAAGCCAACACCATATCTGAGAAGAATTTCATGGCCTATTTCTAAAATACATTTTTTTGGAGTTTGAAATTCCTTGTATTCTGCAGAACAAAGCGGTGGCAGAAAGTATGATGGTCAGGAATGTCCCCTTTAAACATTGCAATAGTTTGGCATCCAAGTCAGCAACTTGGAGATGAAAATGCAACACATAGTTCAGAAAAACAGGCTTCAGCAAAGTTGTCATTGGTCAGGTTACACATGTGCAAACTGCACGGACGCATGCCTGAAAGACTAAGCATGAGGAGCAGAGAGGAAGCTTGCTTTTGAGTAGAGAATCAAGGCTCTCACCAGGCAGCTGAGAGGAACTGCGTAATTGTCAGGTGCAGTCTGCATGGTGTACGCAGCCAGCATGAAAGCTGCCTCTGTCACTACTGCAAAGGCAATAGACAGCTCTCCTTCCTCAAGGAATGACCTGCAGGACATGCACTGCAAGGGATGGGTGTGAAACTTACCGCTCAGAAAAGCTCAGTGCTACCTGAGTTTTCTAGGGAACACACGGAAGTATTACTGGCTACAATCATCATTCCTCTTTGGTAAAATGCAGCACTTTCTTCCTCAGCACAGGAGAATAAATTGCTCTTGTTGTTGAAGTCCAGTCATGAAAAATAAACTTGAACAGCCTGGAGAACCTCTGGCCAAAACAGAATCTTTGAGGTGTTAAAGAAAAAAATTTTTTCAATGGAAGTGAGTTTTGGTACAACGAAACCAGTGCTGCTGTAAAACACGTGTTGCCCAAAGGTCGTCATAAAACCAGAACCAATTCACCAGGCCTGCAAGGACAAATGCACAGAAACACACAACCACACCAACTTACTGCCATTTGAAAGCTTTTAGGTCAGTCACAGCATTACATGCTCGTGACACTTCAGATGACAAGAAATCAGTTAAGTCACTGCTATTCCTGTCATTAATGGTATGATATCAAAATTATTCTATTGGATTTCTTTTGGACGATATTAAATGTTAAGAGTTTCTAAAAACTTTGGAAACTGTTCTGTATATCAGAGGTGTAATTTTACTTTAAAACATCAGTATTTAGAAGGAGCTTAAGCTCCCTCATTTGCTTAACGTACTTTGCTCCAGATGATGGAGCCAACAGTCTTCTGCCATAAATCTGTGGAAACACAGTGAATAATTTGGTTTATGGAAGCTGCTCCTCTACATCAGGATGCTTGTAACATGAAACAGAACAACTTCTATGTTATATTGGACCAGTTTTTTTGTGCCAATATTTAGATTCTGAGATAATTCTTTGCAACTTAATCAAAACTAACGTTTTCTACCTACTTCCCAGGTTGATGCAGAAGGAACACAGGAGGATGTTTTTCTGGAAGTCTGCAAGACAATTGACTCTTTTCTGAAAAAGGAAGAGGCAGCATTTGCATTTTCAAGAGAAACACAGTAATGTTGTGTACACAACCTCACGTGCACCTGACAGTCATGACGAGCATGCTGTTCAAAGCAATACTGCTTTCTTGAGAGGTATCTGGAATTTGTGCATGTGGTATGTTATTTTAGATGAAATTTTTTTCTCTGTTCTGACAATACACTTGATAGAGAGTGGTCTGTATGCTAACTCTACACTGTATATTGTTTTATTGGTGGTTTGCTCTTCACGGGTTAAAAGCAGCATGGTGAACAGCAGCTGTGGTTTGTGTTTCATGATCTCATACATTTGATTGGGAGTCAGACAGTGCCTGGCCAGCAGTGAGCTCTTCAGCCACTTCATTCACCATTTAGCACATTCACTTTTAAGATTAGTATGTACAAGTTTCCCACTGGTTATTTTCTTTTAATTAAGAGTATTACTTTTTGTGGTATCACTTTCGCTTGTTCTTAGGTTTCAGTGACTAAGATCTGTACTATGTTAGATGCAGCTGTAAGACAGCTGGAATTAGCCAAGCTGGGAGTCAAAATAAACTTTTCACACATCCCTAGAACACTATTACAACAAGAAGCAGAAAAATTAATTGAGGGTGCAGAATGTTGTGGAAGTCAATCAATCCATTATCGTGGAGCAGACACCATTTTTGATACAGCCTTGTTTTCTGCTGGAAATTGCAGGATATTACAAGTGATGACCTCCCAGTTTTGTGAGCTGAGGTGAAAACGACTGTATTGTAGAGTTACCTGTGCAATCCAGTAATTATCCATATTAACAGCAGTTTCACTGTATTAAATTCTACATATAAAGTTGACTATGAGCCAGAATGTATGAAGAAGTCTTTAAATCATATTCAGATGTGCTCCAAATGCAAAACAAAGATCATCATCTCTTGTCCTGTACTGGCACTGACAGAACTTTGGGGGGTGGGGGGCGGGGAGGAAGATGTCAGGGATTATTTTATTCATATTGCTTGCATCTTTAGTAAGCCATTTATCTGTAATATCTGCAAAAAGGTCTGTAAAAATCATATGGTATTTCCATTAAGTTAACCAAAATATTGTGGAGTTTCTTTGGTATTCTGATAGCTAAATAAAAGCTTGTTTGACATTCCTGTAAAGTAGTTGCATCCTCTTACTGGAACTACTGGATGAATTCACAGTTGAAGTGGGTTGCATGACTGCTTTTACTGTCAAAGTTGTACTTCATGCAGCAAATTTGTATTTTTAAAGTTACCTTTCTTGTAATGAAGACATAATACAAATAAAACATACAAAACTGAGGAGTAATGATTTCTGGTACAGTATATGTGGGTTTAATCCTTTTTAAAGCACAGTACAGGACTTGAAAATAGAGCTCAAATCAGCATGCTTACAGAGTATGTCCCTTCTCCAGTCAGGGCAGATTCTTCCATTTTCTTTTTCTTCCTTGGCATTTCCCCTGTAAACGCTAATTCAATTATTTTTTAAGGGACTGTTTTAGATATGTTCTTATCCTTCACATCTTGGATGTTCCTTCTTCCCTGGGTCCTTTCATAGCCTACATTTTACCTCTGATGCTCTAGGAAGTGCTTCTCCAGCCCAGGCCAGTGCCATTAAGTGACCAGTAACGTCTGCAGTACAACAGCTTTAAGCTGTTTCTGGAGTATTTTTTATTACCTCTAATTACAATATAAGTTAAAAAGTGTGGAGTATCATATCTGTGCGGGATGGGAGCAAAGGCAACAATCACCTGCTAGTATTTTTTTTTTTTTTAAATCAAATTACAAAAATTATTTAACACAGTTTCAGTTTAATTTTTCTTTCTGCTTCTTCAGATTTTTTCTGTGGAACAAAACAAAAAAATTCCCATGCTTGATTGGGTGTATGTGCATTAGATATCTATTTGCATATGTTCATAATGTATGCAAGAGAAATAGCTGTATATGCATGCATATGGAAATATAAATATTTATACATATTCAATAAAAAGAGGACTTATCCAAGACACTTCTTGGGTGATTCAGACTATAAATTCTCTTTCTGCTTCTAATCTCATTCACGTTATACCATGGCTTTTTGTTCTTCCCAGGCTATCCTAAATTGATGACTGAGTATTTGCACTTAATCATATTTGCACTAATGTACTTCTGTTATTTTCTTCCAGTATTTTTTTCAGGGTTTCAACAGAAAACAGATTGCCACAGATTCTCTCCCTGATACTACACCTTCACCAACTCTAGCTTCCTATAAACAGCATGAATGATGCGGAAAGCACATTTTTAAATTGTATTAGAGAGCCTCTCAGAGCAGTATCTTTTCCAATTAAAAACTAAAATACATCATGGGAATTTTTGTGTTGTATTTTTTTAAGGTTTATTAAATTTATCTAAGTATACTACATATGTGAGATATGTTTACAGATGATACTTGCTCAGTGTTTTAGTAACTGTACTGTATTACCTTCTAAATATATTAAATGCTTAAAATTATTTTTTTCTGAAGCAAAAAATAACTACACCTAAATTTATTGCAAAACTTAATACTGATCAGTTTATAGTTAAAGTTATTAGGTGCAGCCAGCCAATTATCCTTCTTATTGCCATCTTTTAAAGTCAAATTAATTTCTTTTCCAGCTAATTACTCTGAGTATTCAAGTTTCAAAGCAACTGGAAGTCTATTACAGTTATAAAATAATCAAGTGTTTCTGAATCACAAGCTATACATTTCAATAGAAAATATATTAACTAAAATATGTCACAATAATTACAAAGCTTCTCAGACAATGGTATACAGTGTACCGAGGCTACTGAACTCTGAATTTCTGCGATCTGAAAAAGAACAGTCTGTCAGATAAGAGAAGACTAAAATGCTAATCCTGCAAAAGGCGAAGCGTATCCTAGTAGGCGCAGAGCACCATCAGTTCCCATTGAAATTAACAGCAGAGGAAGGCGCTGGGCATCTTGCAGGTCTGCATAGTGAATATTTGTCTGACCCATTAAAATGTCCTTTTAATGTTTTCCATCTTGATTAAAAAGTGGGAACTACACAGAAAGGAAGTCACAGCAAGCATTCTATATATAAACAGACTGTATCCACATAGTTTATTTCTCACAGTTCTCCTGACAATTGAACATTATTTAAGAACATACTGTATACACAGATAAGAAGAAACATACAAAATGTTTTAAATGATGCACAACAAAATCCAGCAGTATAAAAGAATGCATGTGAACCCTTGCTCACTGCTCAGGCTAAATTTAATCACTGTTTAAATAGTAATAAAAATACAATCTTTCATGGATCTTGTGCAGACTACAAAAGAGGAAAAATTATTACCATATATATGATTTATATTAGGCAGTTTTCTTTGATGAGTTGCACTAACAACTCCAAATACAGAGGCAGAAGGCTGTGTATTTTATTTTAAAGGAGTTAATGTTGAGTATTAGAGACTTTACACAGTTACTACCACTGGCACTTTTCACCATATTTTGTACACATCACATGATCATCTTATATAACATTACATTTAAAAAATATATCTGAGTGACAATTTTATAACATTCACACACCATGAGCTGGTTAAGGAAGCAATGCCACAGTTGCCCCCTGTAGTGCTTCACTGTTGGTAAATAGAGTTCATTGTGGTTAAAAAAAAAAATTAAAATAAAAAAATTGAAAGTCAATGTGATTAAGCAGCTCCGATTTAATAAAGGCCTGTAACCAACCATCGCTGAGACAGTGAGTATTTTTTAGAGTACATCCTAGAAGCAAACACCGTCATTGGTTAAAACCTTGCCTAAAGAAGTCAGTTACTGTGCTGAAAACTATTTCACAACAAAACTGCAAGCTACTAAACTGTTTTTATATAAATACTTCATCTCCTCTGGATCTCATTATAACCAAGTTCTTCAAAGCCTTTGGAATTTACTCTATCTTTAATGTGTGCTCTCAATTCTGGCTCACCCTTTTGTATGTTTTTCTTTTGTGTTTAAACTCACCACCTAAAAATGACTAACGTGGTGAAAGAAAAGTCTCCCAGTGAAACCTTCTGCACACTAGGAATGTTCAGCTGCTGTTCAGTGATCTAGAACCATGACAGCTCAAAGCTGTAGTTTGACAAGTACACCCAGGAAGCTGTCATGCTGTGAGTGACATTTCATGGAAAGCAGAGTCTTTCCAAAATGTGCACAGAATTAACAATGGTGCCATTGTTATTTTTCAAAGAGGATAGTAAGCCCAAGATGGTAGATCTGCTTCCCATGTCATCTATTTGCTGGAAAGTAGTTTGGGTCAAGATAATTGTAACTGGTGCCCTGGGACATGCAGTAGTCTCTGTCTAAAAATGTCTCTGCTCTGTAAATAGGTTCTAACTGATGATCTTCCTTATGAATCTCTGTTTCATGCAGACTGCAAGGGAAAGAAAAAGATAACAGTTTAAAAGTCAGATATTTTCCTTATCTTTAACTTTCAGAAACAGTGATCATAGTAACAGATTCATACCAAATTTAAAACAATTAATTCATAAAGTATCATTCCCCCCACTATTTAACAGTACCAAATCTATCTGTCCACTGTATTAAGAAAAAAAAAAATATACATCCAGAACATGCTTACTAAATATATCTTCCACAAATACATGCTGAAGTACGTTCCACTTCACCCAACACATGAGATGTGTCCTATGCTGGAGCAAAGATTTCTAACATACGCAGTAATTAAGCCACAGAGATATTCAAGCTAATTACAAATAACAGGTAAAAGTGTATGCTGCTCACCAGTCAGAACAAGAATCACAGAAATCCAAGGACATATCTTGAGGGCAGTCTTGGCAGTGCCACCGAACACCCTGGATAGGTTCAATTCCGCAGTTATCACACTGTGAAGCAGATGGGAGAGTATTGAAAAAAAAAGCAACTCTAATCACTTACGTTAGTAATTGTACACACCAACGCACCATATAGAAAGGCATGTATGCAGGTCGATTAATACTAGCCCACACAGCTGAATTCCTCATCACAGACCATAATATATTCATGGATAAAGAACTCCTCATACTGTAGAAGAGGTCCTTCAGAGCCCTGAGGATTGATCAGTCTTTTTCTCTCGCTTTCCTTCCCACTCCCCAAATGCTCCATGTTGACATTATTCTCCTGCTCAACGAAAGCAGACCTAGTCCTGCCTGCAGTCACTGCTTATCCTCACGTGGCTTTAAGAACTGCTGCAACACAATACATGAACGTGATGTTTCTATAATCCCACCATGTGAAATGTCTCAGTACAGTCTGACTTTGCATGGCAGAAGAAAGCAGTGAGACTAGACCAGTAGAGCCTGTTGGGAGGCTGTTGTTCGGCTGCAGATCAGGACATGACAGGTCAGACTGATGCACTTTCAAACTCAGGAGATATGGTAACACATTATAGGTGCGCTGGAACTAAAAGCCAGACGGCTGGGAAGGAAGTGGGACAACACATTCAGGGAAGGAAATAGAAGTATAAAACTAAAGCTGAGCAAGAAGACAAGAACTGAGACAAATCTGGGACAACACAACAGCAGCTAAGTGCAAGAAGAGTATGGCATGAAGAAGAGGAAAAGTACAAATGAAACATCAAGACTGGATGAAATATTCACAATAGCAGAGAAGAGGGGCAGAAATGCAAAGATATTCGATTAAAAAAAAGAAATCTGGAAAATGGGACTCAGAGGCAAGGAGAACTTTTCAAAAACCTGAACTTTGAAGAGTGCTGCAGGGACACAATTGAAAAGGAAAAAGGAATGTAAGAAACAAGCCTGTGCTCCCACAGCTCATCCACCTTCAGAGCCTGAAGTTCTCTCACAGCATCTGTGAAACCCACTCACAGAACAGCTCTTTCCTGGCCACAACTAATCCACTCAGGGTTACACACACCTTGCACCATACAGATTTGTCACAGCTGCATCCCTTCCTTCCACAGATGACTTTCAGAGTTTGAGGGCTGATAATGAGGAGGAACTAAGCATACTCAGAACTTTTATCTGAAAATGTCAAGTTCAGTATAATGCTAAATACTCTAAAAAAATAATTAAAAAAATAAAAATTGAGTCCAGTTATGTCAATTTGAGAACCAAGATAGTGGAAACCCTTGACCTTAATTTCTGTGCTCCAGCTTCCCTCTCTTTCCCCTGTGAAACAGAAATAATACCATGCCTTTCATTTCCTAAGGAAAAAAAAAGTATTTGCAAAGTGCTCTGATATTATAGCAATGAAAGCCATAAAAAGCCCCCCAGGGATTCAATAATTCAACATTCAAAGTAGAGTTTGAATAATGTGTAGGTAAATGAGGCTGAAGGCCATGCAGAACCCAAAGTGTTCTGAATGATTGCTTATTAGGTGAGCTCCATCCAGCCCATGCACTGAGCAAGGCAGCACTGCTGAGGGAAAATAGTATATAATCATGCAATTTCATAGCTTACTATAATGCATAATAAAATCAAATTCAGATTGCAAAGAAACTTTCAAACTTTGAATGTTTGACACTGCATAATGACAATTTACTTTTCAGAGTAATTTTATGTAGAAAAAGCAACTAGCTTGTTACCTAGAAGCTAGAAGTCTGGTCTGCCTGATCAAGGTTTTGAATTTTGGGGAAGAAAATGCCAACTTAAAAAAAAAAAAAAAAGGGGGGGGGGCAAAAATAAAAAGCACCTTGGTGGTCTAACACCATGATTAAGTCTGTCAATGTCAACAAGGCTGTCTTAATTTTCCAGTAATTTTGAACTGAACTTTAAACTGAATATCTTTGCATTGTTATATAAATGGGTATCACAAAATAAATCTAACTGCATAACACTAAACAAGGTGAAGAAACTGTTCTAAGGTAGCAACCAGAAAATCCCTTGCAAACCAGAAAATTTTATTTAGAGAATGCTTTTTCGTTCATGTTGCCTACTAATGGTTGATACTGTGACAACACATTATTTTAACTTAAAGTTTGTTTTCTTAATTTCACATAACTATTGTTTTGCATCCTTGCTTCAAGTTCTGTGAGTTATTACTTGAAAGGATTAGGAAGTTGCTACAAAACAAAAAAATTAATCTAATAGCGTTCTCATTAAAATTCTTTGTCCCTTCTTTGGCCTCAGGTGGAAGCAAAGTACTCCAAATTCATAATCAGAGAATTACCATCAATGAATCACTGTCAAAATAGAGTGTAGTGTCAAATGGAATTCTATACTGATTTAACCTGGCTCTAGAGCTGTATTTTCATAATATGAATGAGGAAAAGACAGTATGCTTACTAATTTCCATATAATATCAGTATTCAGTGAAACCTGAGCTATTGGAGAGAGTGAATTATTTGGGTTGTTTTTATTAAAGAAGATGAGAGAAAGCAGAGACTGAACAGGAACTAAGGAACTAAACCTGCTATATTAAACAAAGCCTTTTTAGGAAATCCAAACCATGTTATCTTTGAAAACTTCTACAGTCCACCACGTAACAGAATAATATCTCTTAAACTCACCTTGAATCCCACATGCTGCACAAATCCACTTTCTGCATGCATCTGCTGGAGTTTCTGTTTCTTCAGTTTTTTAAACTCTAACAGTTCTTTGTATTCAGGTAACTCTCGGTATGTTATTGGAATACTCTCTTCATCCTGTTCATGGTTAAAAATAAATGAGAAACATTATTTGCTTTAGCAATATATTAACTAGTAAGACATATATTCCATATGTCACTATGTATGATTAACTACCTTTGAGAAAATGCTGGCCATATATTCTAACTAACTGGGAAAATATTTTTAAAACCAGCAAAAAAGAGCACATACAGCTAACTTACATTTTATTTTGTATTATTTATACTTTATTATTTGCATTAAAACAAAATACCATTATTCAACAAACAAGTTTCTTCTGGTGAAGAGTCTGGCTGTAGTAAAAATGAGAGAGCAGTGCCTAACTTTAATTCCTAGGTTTTTCCTCATCTTAGGTGCCTAACTGCAATTTGCATATAATCCACTTGTCCATGTATTGTGGGCAAAATGGCAGCTGCAGTAGAAGAGTTGGCTTTTGTCAAAGACAAAGCTAGTTTATTTTATTTTTAAACACATGGCAACAGATATTATACTTGAGGACGGAAATTTCAGGTCAGTTTTATCAAGTTAATTGATATTTCTCTTTATTATTTTGTGGAATGGTATGGAATAATACTAGTCTAATGATAGTTACAATCACCGTTCTGCAGAACTTTCAAAGCTGTAAAAATTTTGAAAACAAAGGACACAATTTACAATTTTAAGAATTTTTGCACAAACTCCGATTTTTACAAGACCCACAAATCAAGAGAGTACCAAGCTTCCATTATATGTGTTTTTTTATTTGAAGACAGTCAATCTTAACAGTAGTAACTTCTCACATTTACCTGTAAGAATAAACAGTGATAAGAAGCATCATTCCATGACTGGAAGAGTGGAAGTTTCAGAGTTATCCAACTCTTTCATCCCCTTACTTCATGCTGTCTCTTAATAGCTTAAGAAAACAGATTGCTATTTTTCCTAAATGAAAAAGTTCGTCTCCCTGCAGGCTTGTGCACACAACTTTGCCAGAGATTTTAACAAATGGTTTTCTCTTTTTAAAGAAACACACCATTTCTGGTTTTTCTCATCCAATTTTCTTCAACAAAGGCTGAAGACCTCCATGTTAGGAGAAGACAGAAGCTCTCATTCTAATTCAGATGCCTGTTTCAAGAAGGCTATTTAATTGTAGCAGCTGTACTTGGTAGATGTCAGCTGTTTTCAAAAGATGACAAGTCTTTATGGATGTAGAGCAGTTTTCAGATTCTATACTAATAGGAACATTCAGTTATGGAAAACAGCTACAAGACAGTAATCAAATTTGTTCTAATGTAGCCTACTCATATCTTTTTATGATCTGTGAAGATTAAAGAATCCCTATTATTTAGTAAGTTTATTAAAGGAAGTGAGAGAAAGCGGCTTGCTCTTTAGTGTTAAATTTCTAAAGGCCTTATCAACTATTTAATTGTAATTATGAACCTATATAAAGGACTAGACTGCAAATGTTCTGAAAAATCAAGGTTAAATGACAAAATTTAATTGCGTGGTGATAAGCTATATTATCTTAATATAAAACAGGGATTCAACTTCCATGCAAATCTCAAAAGCTTTTCTGAGAAAAACTGCCTGGCACAAAGTTACTGTATATTGAATAAACTACGCTACAATGGCTCCCTGTGTGGACACTTCATTCCGGAACAGTAAGTAGTTGTCTTCTGGAATAATTAGACTACTCACAAAATGAAGTAATCATAACTGAAACGTAAATTCCCTCTACTGGGAACAGAGTGTCTTCACTTGGGAATAACTCATTTATACTAAAACAATTTCTCAGCAATGATTATGCCAGACAAGCTGACTGGTAACAGCCAGGGAAAAATCAAATTTTTTACTTACAGGGGAACAGCACCCGGTACTTCCATTGTAAAGAACTCAAAGAAAACCTTTCCTATAATTTCCTTGCTACACTGCATCTCTTTGCCATCATGCTGATGCAAAGTATTTTTCTTCAAGACAGTGACTGTCACTAAGAGACATGGCTTTTATCATTAGAACAGAATCCTGTATGCTCGTTTTGAATATACTTCATGATCCCCTTTTTCTTCCAAATTGCTTCTGTTTTGCATTAATAATGGGGATCTTTTTGGTAACAGCTCACCTATGTCTTTCTACATTACTGCAAGCCAGAAATATATCCATCTGGAAATGCTGCCCTAGTGAATAAAGAAAAGATTAAGCCAAATTTTAAAAAACCCAACAAAACCCAAAAGGGCACAAGTCCACCCTTATCACTGCAAAAGAGTAAACCAGCAGGTCTACCCAAATTAAAATAAATCCCAGTGGATTTATAGTGCCTATATTTATTAGAGTTAGGGCACCATAGCAAAACCAAAATGTTTTAGGAAAATAATCAGAACAGTTAGAAAATATGTGTTTAAAAATGATACAGAATGAAAGAATGTTTGCTCAAAAACAGTTCAATTGAGACAAATAATACTAATCTGCATCTCTCCTAACATGCATTTTTCTTTCCGATACTTCTAAGGTTCTTATTGGAATATGCAAAGTTATCAGGAATGTCTGTAGATGAACCAAAAGACCATCAGAGGGAGAATACAGAACATGAGTGAAGATGGCATTTAAGACTGAGTAATAGATAAGCACATTTAATAGTTTAAGGAAGATGATGCAATGCATGTTAAAAAGTCAGTGAAGAAAACTTATACTGGGTGGCCTTAATACTTCTGTTACACAACAGGCTTTTCACACACAAGAATGAGTGTGGTCCTTCAGTCTAAGCACAGTGAAGTCACAGTGATTCACACCAGCTGTGAATCTTGCCCAGCATCCTGGAGGTAGGATGTAGTCCCTCTATATGAATTCCTGTACTATTATCGCAGGTGATAAATTAGAAAAGTGGAACACTGTATGATGAAATAACACATTGGGTTAGGACGCCCACTAGAATTTGCCTTTAAACCCACATACATTTGCTGGTTAACAACTCGGTCTGTTAGTTCATGTTTTGAAGTGGATTTAAAAAAAAACCCCAACATAATTCAGCCAGTGAAGGAAGACAAAAAGCAATAATGCCAATAGCATTCAAATTTTATCAGGGCTCTAGGTAACTTTTCTAATACAACACATCTTTAACCAGAATCATAACTGTAAATTTTATAGGATTTTCAAACTCATCTAATGTCAGACCACTTTTTGAAAATATGTAGCTAAAACTTTTTTAAGCTGTTTCAGGAAAAAACTGTTTATTACTTCTTTTACATGCTTCTGATTTGGTCTAAATTTTCTGCAATTGAGGGTGTTTATATTAATGTTGTGTTTATAATTCAAAATGGCTCATGAACCTTACCACAATTTAATACTTCCTTGATGATATTTATTTTATAGCAAAGACACTTAAACAAAGATGCTTATTTATTAAACAATGTTAAAATAACAGTAAGCAAGACATTCTGAATGATTTAAATGACATACCGATACTTCCTCTTCTGCTGCAGTGTCCATATGGCTGTGAAAACTGGATCTGTCATCATCTTCATCCATATAAACTGGAGGTTCATGAGATGTCATGAAAGTTGAAGGTTTGAAAAGATGTTTATTTAAAGGATGCTGCCGTCTACTTGATGACTATATTGAAAAAATAATATATTTTTTAAAACATTCCTTGGTTATTATTTAAGTAATACTCATTGACAAAAGCTTGCCAGAAATTCGCTCTTTTGCACTAAACAGTCTATCATCTTTCTAATTATTTTTAGTTAAAAATCTCTATCTCCCCCATAACAAGTGAAATCAGATGAATAGTGCAACACTTCTTTGGTAAGGACCCAGTAAGAAAGAGCCCTTACCATAAAAACCCTACCATCTAAATAAATGAGACTGGCAACTATAGAAAAACAGAAAAAAAAGCTGCTCCAATTTTGAAGACTGAGAACCAAAGGGTAAACATATTAAAAAACTTGCAAGAGTCATGAACAGTGTGAGTGCACGACTAAACAAAGAAGCAGTTTTGCACAGGTCCAAGATCCAAGAGACCAGTCCCTGCATGACACTTAACATCAACTTCTTGTATTAATCTGTGCCTTAGAGAATCTAAGTCTAGGCTAATTGTCCAGATTTCTTTCCTAGTCCACGGAGAGAAAGGAAAATTCATTCCACGATAAAAGAAATTTCTAAGAGTTAGAAAGAATTGCTCTCTGAAGGTTCTTTTTCATTGCCACTGACTGGAAAAAGAACCTAAAAAACATTAGATGAGATAAATCACTCCATTAGTGTGTATCTAAAACCTTTCAGTTTTAATGGTGTCTGAAGATGTAGAATGCATGGCAGTTTTAAAATAGAGTACTTAAAGGCACTCAGCCCTTATTACTTATTCCCCATGGAGGAATATTAAATAGCAAAAAAGAAGAATTTGGGGTGAAGGAAACTGACTCAACTTATTACTTATCTACTTTCCAGACCAGCATTTTGACATCTTCAATGTCAAATCTTACATTTCTCAATTGAAAGAAAACAGTGTGAATCAAAATTCAGAAGTATGAAAAGTGCTTCTTTTAATAATCATAAAAGAGATTATTGTCTTATACTGTGTCTAGATTCTGTCATACAGATAAAGCATAAGGAATATTTACAATAGTTAATACTTTTCTCTTTTCATGCAAGACTTTTTATCCCAAAGGTTCCTAAATCAGCAACAAACCTGTAATACTATAATACAATCTCTAAAGACAGATTCAACCGCTAAAGAGGGATCTAGCATTATTTTACACTCGTGCACAGTAGAAATAAAGGCAAAGACCACACAAATTATCTTAGGTGGAATGTAGCTATGCCGACAGAAGTAGAAAAAGGAATTGAGATGAGCTCCATTCACTCTCAAGGGAAGAGACAAAGTCTGTAGTAACAACTGGAAGCTGGTACCTCAGATCTGCAGAACTACAATGCATAGAATAAAACTGAACATTTTGTTCCAAGACTAATGTACTATCTATTGTGTTGAATTTTTCCACCTTCTGCCTTAATGATCACTGATTTCCTGTGTTTTGCTGCTTTTCTGGTTTCCTATGAGATCTGACCACCCCAAAATAGTTCCATTTATAAGGTTAGATGGTATTTCAGCTTGAGCTGACACAGTGATTTAAATTTCCTGTTAACAAAAAACAGATCTGCATTCAACACTAGATCTGGAAATCGAGAAAGGAAAACTGTCTACACTTAAAGAGCAGCACTGTTATGCATACAGTAATGACCTAGGAATTTAACAGGATTTGAATTCTTTAACATGATTCTACTTCTGGTGAAGAATGAACTAAAATATTACATAAAAGCAGACAGTTAAAATTATTAAAAACAATTTTTCCTCTGGGAAATATATCTTCTGGATTAAGCTTAAAAGCAGGTGCACTAATTCTATTATATAAGCATTAAATTGGAAATGATAAGCCATAATTGAAGAACTGAATACTAAAGTCTTAAATCTCTGATTCATTTTCACCACTAGCAGATTACGGTTATACAGGAAAATAAGTGGATGCATCCTGTTTAATTTCCTGTATCACTTATCAGAAGAGACATTATGCCATATGAGCAGATATACATAGTAACTTCAACAAGATGTTCAGGAACTGAATAGGCTTCTCACCTCCCCAGTAACCATTTTAAAAAAGCATCCTGGGAAATTCCCATGGAGAAAAGTACCTTCTTGTGAAGTGTCCCTTGTGACACCATTATTTACACTAGATATATCTATGGTTTTTATTCTCCCATGGATATGTGCTTTAAGTATGAGCATCCAGTTTTCATAGTTCTATTATTGGCAATAAAGCAGACACCGTAGTTCATAGCACATGTGCATACTCAGTATCAAAGGATGAGCACAGCGTAAGCATGAGCCCGGCTTCCAATACCCTGTGCATTTCCTCTCTGCCACATTATATTATCTCCATTGGAGACCTGGGAATGACTACAGCCTGGTACACTGCTGTCAATCTGTGCTCTAAGTAGACAGCTATATTAGCAGACTGAGAGCTCAATTCCCCCACATATGCTATTTGTTTGATCTTTTCATCTGCTCTATTTCTTACATGGGATACAAACTTAAAATGGAGACGTCACCTTAATAAAAACCAGGGCACAATGACCTTACTCTTATGACTTGGTAATAAAGATATGAATCATACTGTGAAAACAGACATAAGTATTAGATTTGTTTTCCATGTAAGCTTAAGAAAAAATTGTAGGATGGTGGCATTACCACTGTAGTATGAGAATGTTAAGAATTTTATAAAATATGTTTCACTCTTGGTTATGCTGTGTTTGTATGCACATCAGTGGGGTTAAAGAACTTTATGGATCACTGTTCAAAGTAGTGAAAAATATGGTTAAAATGTCACATGTGTACTGATTAAATATTCCCTCTATTTATCAGATACAGTGATCTGCTGCCTGGCAGCATTGCTCACATTCTGTAATAACATTATGTCTTTCCAAATAAAACTAGGAGGAAAGAAGATACATGTGACTAAGGTCATTTAAAACAGTAAGGTGACAAAGAACTCAAAAAACTCTAATTTTCAAAACTAATTTTTTAACCCCTTTTGAAATTAGCCCTACAGTATGCTAAACTGTACAAGTAATTTAGAGTTCTAAGAGATAAATCTCACCACAGTATTTAAGGTATCAATGTTTCCAGCTGTTTTTTTGGTTCTTCTGCCAGAAAGCACTTTTCCAAGAAACAAAGCACCAGACAGAATCATGCCTGCACCTTCCCTGCCTCTGTTTATAGAGCACAATATTAGGTTAAAATCCTGGTGAAAGTAAAATGGCATTACCATGATGGATGGCAAAATGGAAAGCCTCTGATATGAGCACTCATTGTTTGCAGTAACTTCAGAGAATACTAGGAGAAAACTGGGACCGTGTAACATCTTAAATCATCAGAGATGAGCTGTGGTAGATCTTTCTATCAGGCTTCTTTGGCAGTAACTTTCATTCCCAGTCTTTCAAGGGACTAAATCTGCAAATTTGCCTTTTTGCAGAATCAGTGTAAGACTTACTCTATTCTTAATCAGAAAATATCACAGACACCTGGATGCAAAAAAGTAATGTTACTCTACAAAATGCCATTCTAACAGTTTTAAAGAACTTTTGTAAATACAGTGGTAACAAACAAAATACCCAACAAACAAAAGCCCCACAAAACCTGAGATTGCCCTCTTCAAATGTCTAGAGTCATTATTACCCAAGGGTACTACATTATTTAAATCAAAACATGTAACTAGTCTGTACAGAAATCTAGAGTCTTTTCTTTTGCAAATTAAGATTTTTCAGGGCCATCATCTCTTCTCACCCATTCCAAGATCAGGAAAAGCATCATATTTTAATGGTCATTTATATGACCATCCTATTTTAATGGTCATGTATATTGCAAATCAAAATAAGACATTTCAGTCTTGAGCCTATGCTTGTGCTAGGTCAGTATGCTCAGTTATACATAATTTTCTTTGTTTTTGTTAATTAGAAGATGACTGTACAATATGTAATTATAGGGCTCCTTATCCTCTTCCAACAGGGTTCTCATTTTGCTCTTCTAGATCAGTTACAGTAAACTTACAAATGAGGAAAATGTACCCCAAGACCAATCATTTAACCCTGTTAGTTCAGCCTGCAATCACACTGCTATGTTCTTCCCTGACACTTCATGTCCCCATGATTATCCAGTAGTGAGGTAATTAACAGATGTTGACGTGAAACTAGAATAACACCCAACTCATTCTACAATGCTAATGGCAAAAGAAAAAAATTATTTCATTACATAAGAAACACATGCAAGGTGAAACTAGTTAGTAAGAAAGCACTCATCAAGACTTAAATCTATTGAAAATATTAATGATTTAGACTCAGTTTGCATGTAAATGCCAACTGAGTTTCTGCTGTAATATTGTCTCACCTTTTTGGAGTATAAATATAAGTTTGGAGTTCTTCCTGGAACTGGAATGCCAGCCTTAGTCAGTTTAATAAAATATTTTTGCACTCTACTGGCAACCTAGAAAAAACACCACACAACAATTAAATGTCAAATGAAATGTAACAGGACTTCACTTCAAAGTTTGGCCAGCATTGCTACACTGGTACAAGGACAAGAACTCCCCATTTTCTACTTTTTGACAACCACTCTAAGCATGACCTATCTTGCAATGCTGCAGTTGTAATATTTCCAGACACTTCAAAGGCTTTCAGAGAAAAAAAATTACCATTGTTTAAAAAGTACATAGAAACCTAGCAAAAATTGTGAAGGAAAGGAAAGAATTGTAATAATTTGTTACCTGCTGAAGCTAAACCTACTCTTTCTTAAAAATGACAGGCTGATTATGCATGGTTAGCATACAGAAAGTATTTCTATACTTTTTTTTTATGAAACAAGCAAGCATCTATTTTAATTTTTTCACATATGGAGAAACATAAATGTAGGTATAGATATGGTCAGAGATGAGGTAATCTTGTATATTGAAATTCTTAAGTATACTTTTACCTGAAAGTGTACAACAGAAACAGGAAAAAATAAAATACTGTGAACACAGTACATCAGCATTTTTTACTTCTGGTCAAACTGGAGAAATTATGTCATTTTAGGGGAAAAATCCCAACAAGTCAGATGCAGAAACATTCAGTGCCTCCACATCTGTGTCCTTTAGAGGATCTCGGCTCCAGTACAGAACTAATTCTTCTGTCTGCAAGTATTAAAATGTCTGCCTATTCTATAGTATTGAGGTGCTGGAAATTCAGCACTCCAGTGTAAATCAATCTGAGAACAGCTGGTGTCACTATACTTGCTATATAGAATTAAATGCATGCTGACAAAATCTAATGAACAACTAGGTCTGGAAATCTTGTCACGGGCTTTGGGGCACTTTAAAAATTATATATTTAAGATCAAGAATAAGAGTCGCATTGTTATTAGTGAAATGCAGGCCTTGCTGTTACATTTTTAAGAAAAAGTGATTACTGAAAAGATACTGGATTTTATTTACTCTTATTTAAAAAAAAGACATCTACAAATAAATCTTCTGTGAATCTGTATCAACTACTAGGATTCAGTGACTAATATCACTACTACCACAGCATAAGCACTCAAACAATCCCAAGTAGTCAAGTATTTTTTCTAGTAAATTAAGTTCTATTGCTTCAATTATGACCATTATAAAAAAAATAAATTTGAATTCCTCAGTTTATGAATTGGGTTTTTTGACAGAAAAAAACCCTTCAAATTAGAAATAAATTACTTAGGAGATTGTATGCAGGTTTCTCTTCAGCACTAACCAGTGCTTCTTAAAAAGCATTTAAAAAAGAAAAGTCAAGGAAAGGCATTACTTCTTCAAGTGTTTTACTTGTTACCTGCTTTGCTGTTCTATTTCCCAGTTCATCAGCTATCTTCTGCCACCGTCGGGACTCTACTTCCTCTGGTGGATACTTCAAAAGCAATTGCTCAAGTTTTTTCTAAATCAACAGGGAAAAAAAATAAATATATCCTTCCTAGAGAGGTATGAGTTGTTAAAAGATGAGTATCTATATACATGTGATTCTGAACTTCTAGCTGCTTTAAACACTACTACACAATATGCTTTTATTCTCATGTACGTTACTAAGCTACAAAATGGAAGTTTCTCCATTACCTGTTCCTCTACAGTCCACAGCTGGTTAAAAGTTTCAGGTTTGGTCTCATCGCAAAGTCGTCCTCTTATCATCTGCAAATACAGATATAAAATATAATATATAAAGTGGAATACATGTTTAGGAAAAGTACAGTTAGGATAACTTGATTTTAACCCTTTTCCTACTGAAGTAAAACCAAACCAAATAAATGCATGAAAAATTGAAATAAAATTTGCCTCCGATTTGAGTACTTGAATGAAATGTCATCACCAACAATAACATTTGAAGTAAGAGTTAAGATTACCCACACACTCATATTAAAAAAGAGTAAGAAAAAAACGCAAAAGTAAATTTTGTAAAATTTTATCTTTCCTTTTGTAAAAACTACCTGTGGACGACTGTTTGTAGAACCTTCTGGACCATCACTTAAAGGCAAGACAGAGTATGAAACAGATTCTCCATCCTTCTTGGGATCCAAAGGACTTTTTGGTCTTGCAGGTATACCTACTATAAGAACACAAAAAAAGAAATTATTAAACATCCACACTGGTCATTTACTTATTACAATGTATGCCCACTTTCTTTTTACCTTTGTCAAAAATTAGTTTCACTCTCCTACTGTTACGTTTTCGGTTTTTGAATTCTCTCTCAAAGTTTCCAAGGCTAGAGGTGTATTGGTCCCAGGCAATCTCAGGGAGCTGAACAACTCTCTGAGGATATGGAAGACCCATATCAACCTGCAAAAACGAGCGACAAGTGAAAAGCAATATTTAATGCAATCGCTGTATATTCAAACAAAGAACTATGAAACCTGAAAAGTTATGAAAACTGATACTGCTTTTTAACTAGCAGCAGAATTCAAAATCAGAAGTTTTAAAGTGCAACGCAGCACACTGTTTGTAAGGAGAAGAATAATACACAACAGTGCATATAAAATATGCAGCGGCACAGTCAATGATGGCTTATTGAGCATAAAACTTTTAAAGCGTGTATTTCACAGCTGAAATCAGGTGTTTCTGACTTCAATATCCTGTTACTGTCTATCTCTCTTCTATTCTTTTTAAACATACTGTTTGCATAGCATGTGTACCTTTTTTAACACAGAAAACTATAGGATTTGGAGTTTTATCGTCTGATAAACCCAAACTCCTCCCATCAAAGAAACCAATGTATATTTTACATTGATTTTGCTGTCTTCTGCCTAGAATACAACTGTTGCAAAGCTCGCCACTTTATTTAAAGGTCAACCTTAAGAGTATCAGTCCTTTGGTCTGGAGACAAAAATACACCAGATACTTTCAACTACTATTAGTATTTCCCCATACAGTGATTATCAAATGCAACACTCTTACATCATGCATGCTATTAACCCATCTCAAAACATAATGGAAAGACAAATATTGAAACCAATGGGCTTACATTAGACCTCTCGTTAAACCTAGGTCTCTACAAACCTAGGAAAAGAGCACCATAAAATACCTACTTCATTCTTCACTGAAATACAACATGTGGCTACCAGACTAGAAGGTCATGTGTTCGTCACTGGTAGATGTGGCAGCAAGAAAGTATTCAAGCTTTAAACATTTTTTCAGTATCCTTGTTACTACAATTTTTATTTTATTTTTTTTGTTTTCTTATTAAAATTAATTCTCCATCAGACAATATTCTACTATGTCATCCTGAACTCAGGTATATTTTCTAGTGTTCATTTTGGTTTTAGGCTATGAACTACATTTCCTGCTCTTTAAATAGCACCCTACCAAATTCACTCATACTACATTTAATTTCTCTAATGAGAAAAGTTATAGTCTTATACCTTACTATGAAGTCCTTCCCAGTCACCTGTAGATTTCAGGTTGTCTTAAAATACCTACATTACAATTAGAAGTTTAAAGAACACATTTTCTACATACTGAAAAAATGAAAGAAAGCATATTTCATTTAATTACTGAAGATGTAGGTCTTACAGATTTAATAAGCAAAGGGCTATTTTTTGCTCAGTAGAGAAAGGATTTTAAACTCATAATATTTATGCAAGTATATATATAATTCTCTGATTTCTATAGATGATGGATTACTAGTTATTAAAAAAAAAAAATGAGTAAGACTTAAGAAAAGCCTGTTGAAATACCTTCTTCTGGAGTTTTTCCACAAATCCAATAGGATCTTTCAGTGCTTCTCTCTGGTGTCTCCCTAAACTTTCAAGGTCTTGAACTGCTTGAGTACGTTGAGCCTCGAGTACAGCAATCGTCTGTAACAGTCTCTGATAACTACAGAGACAAAGGAAAACATCTCACTAAGTTTGTCTTTAAAAGTGACACACACTCCCATCTAAATACTAGCCATGATTATCTACTACTGTCTACTAGAGTTCATAGCTCATCTGAAACAGTTCATAGACATTTTTACTGGATTATAACAAAATTATATCAAATCTATTTTAAGTAGTAGATGAATTTATATAAACTCATCAAAAAAAGAAAAACAAAACCAACCACCCAATGATTTCCTTGAAATGTAAATTCTATGCTAGCTAAAAGAATATGGTAACAGGGAGACAATAGCTATTCATATTCCCAATAGCTATGACCAACAAGCTTTGCTTACAAAGTTAAAAAAACACAAACAAAATTACCTAATTTCTCTTCCACTTCAAAATCACCTTCCTGCTACCCCAATACAAATGACTCTACCACAGAATTTTAACATTTCACTCAACCACCCACAGAGTGGACAGGAATGACTTGGAAATTGTATCTAAACATTTCATATAAGCCTCATGTACAAGCAGAATATAAGAAACATTTATAAAATGTAATGATAAACCAAGAAATAAGTAATTTCCAAGTAAATACACACAACAGACTCTCCTCTAAGAATACGGAAGTTGAATGAATATGTCAGCATCCCCTCAAACCTGCCATCCCTGATGCACACACAATTTTGATTTTCTATTTAATAGATACATTCGAGAGTCACTGAGGTGACTGTACCCATACCTGTACCCAATAATCTATGCTTCCCAAACCGTTCTCTATAAAGCTAACTTGGAGTCAAGAAATCATACAGTATTGTAACACAGCCTTTAAAAAATAGGCAATGACATTTAGGATCTTTTAACAGTTTTATAGTTAGTTACCCACTTCAGTTTCTGAATCATGAAGTTACTCGTGGACCCTGTTGTTGCAAATTATTATGTATCAAGTTAACTTTTTCCAGGAAAATGTTTTCTTACATTTACTACTACAACTATATTTTAGTTTGACAACCTAATGTATACTAAAATCAAGTAAGTTCTATTCACTACTACACTATTTCAGTAAATTTTCTTCTCTTCACTTACTCATCAAAAAAAGACATGATGAATTCCATACATGATGAATTCCATGTATTACAGAAAAGATCTAGAGGTTACTGAGCTAATGCAAGTTTTTCAACTGACTGCACTGCTAAGTGGGTAAGGCTTTAAATGGAGGGAAGAGCCTCAAGGCAAAATACAGGCTTTGTACCATCAAATATTTAAGTTTCTACCTAGACATTAAACTGTTGCCTCTCCATGAAAAAGGTTAATTTTCTTTACAGTCAAATATAATATTTGAAAACAAGTATTGCCACATGTTCTGAAGTCTGTAAAATACTGAGCTTGTTTAAAAACAGTAGGATACAATTCTGTTATGAATTCATTATTATTTAAATTTGTCTGCATATAGTCAGGTTTACATGCAACTAAGACCTAAAATGCTCATTAAACAGGCTGTTAATATTGGAACAGTAGAGAAATATTTTCATTACCAGAAAAATGCTCCAGTTTCTTCTAAACAAAATAACTTTGCATAAAGCAATACAATTAACGGGGATATTCTTGAACAGATGAAAAACTAACTTCAGAAATAACTTACAATAGTGAAGGCACGTCAAAACTGGCCTGAGACAATAGCACAGCTCAGACTGTTACAGGCTTACAGGAATCATCATGTGTAGAATTAAGATCTTCACTTAATTCTTACAAATAGTATCCAATTACTAGCTTTGTGCTGGGCAACCTCTGTCCATGCTCAGATGGAGTGGCAGCACTCCTTATGCAGAAGTCTGCCTTGCACGCTCCAGAGAAATGGAACACAGGCAGGCTGCTAACAGGTTTGATGTAGATGCAGTTGTAACAACACAGAAGAGCTTAATGATATCTGGGGAGATGATTTAACCTGCACAACAGAAAGCCTTTTTCCATCAGCAGGTGCCAAACTTTTATACAAGACTGGAGTTAACTCCAGGCACAGTAACAGAGACTCAGTAGCATACACGAAAATTGGTATCCAAGATGATGTTAAATTAATACCTGCCTTTCTTTTCTTGAGCCATTTTACCTCATTTACTCATATTGTATTTAAATGTTGCTTTTCCAAATGAAACTGAAGGAAAATAATAATATCATTTAAAACATTTACATACATAGAAGAAAAAAAAAAGCAACCAAATGTTTGTGATTAGATGAAGTGTTAATTTAATGATGCATCACATGTAAAATGGGTGAAGAAATAATCCTAATGAGGTGGCCTTAAACAATTAAGTCTGGATGGAATGAGAAGAAATTACATTTGGGAGGAGGTAACAAACAAAACAAGAATACTGAACTGCAATTACTTTCCTCGTTAAAATAGTCATGTGACCTCAATGACATGATCATGGACTTGAAGATAAATGGTTCAGAAATTATATCTCTGGTCTTCATGGAAATACATAAAATATTACAAGAATGTCACGATAACTCAAAACCATGTCATGTGATGCTGATCTCTGGCTATATAGCTCTATTATAATGAAATAATTCAAGAGATAAAAAGGGGTTTTTTAGCAAACTGTTCAGACAAAAAGATTTCCTGGCACTTTTTTGTTCCCCCACTAAAGAAATGTATTAACTTGGAGCTATTTATTTTAACTTCCATATTCGCTTTTAAGGAATAAACATATTCTGAAGCCCAAGAATAAGAGCGCAGTTTTATAGAGTGAATATCAAAAGTACTGAAATGCATGAAAATGTGCATTTTGGGGTCTTACATTGTCAAGAAAAAATTGAAAATGCTAATCCTGAAATACATAGTTTCCATATTCTATATTCAGGTACTTCAGATTCGCTGCCGGACTGCATTCTCTCTAAACCACTGCACATCCTTCCTTTTAAATTCCAACAGGACTTTTTAAATGACTGTATTACAGTATGTCTGCATATGTTCTTTTAAGTTTTGAACCACTACTGTTTTCACAGGTTTGTACAGGCTTTTCTGGCCCTACATGACTGTAATAAAGCCAAGTATTTCTCTGAAGAAGCAGTAAGCCAAATAACAACACACATGTTGAGCACCTTCTCGCAGTCTGTCTGTTCTGGCTTCTTAGTCTCAAACTGTAACATGATACTTCGGACACATTAAGCAAAAGACACTGTGCACGTAATTTCCAAGACTATTAAAAAAAAAGAAAAAAAGAAAAAAAAGAAGTTGCTAAATATTTTACTATCCCTCTTCCAAGGTTCATTGTAAATAAGCACAATCATGACTCAAACTACTTCTTGCAGTTGCACCATCATTCTCCAAAATTGAAAAAGCCTAACGAAGGTAAAGAGAAAGTAACTGGAACCTTGCTCACTAGTCTGCTGTAACAGAGGCTCCATCCTTCAATGAGGCAATCAACGAGCAACCATCTCTAAATTATCTAGCTACAGCTACATAATTTTCTCAGACAGATCTGTGAGGAATTACCAAGGGAAATTATCTCACATCCTTTGCCAAAACAAAACTAACTCATACAACTAACAATGCATAAGTCAATCACACCCCTTACACTGACTGAAGTTACACTTTTCTCAGTTCTAATTACTAAATTGTTAGCACATACAAAACCTAAAGCAGTTTTCTTTGTAGGAAAACTTTCATTCTACAGAATGTAATTCTGTGATTCCACAATCCCTGTATTGAAACACTCTTGCAATTTTTTAAATCATGTTAATTGCCAGGAATCTTCCAGATGAACCCTTAAGTAAGTCAGTATAGTATAGAAACAGTTTCAGTATCTCTATACTGAAAAACCTTGATTAAAATGTTTTTTGAGGGACTAATATTTTAAAAAGGAAAGACACTTCTTAAAGATTGATACTGATCAGCAGGGATTCCTGCAGATTCAGTCATTCTGCTGCAGTGATAACTACTCCACTCTTTTGGATTGCTCCATAAAATAATTATCACATAGCAAAGCCATATTTATGGAAGTCCTGCCATAAGCAATTAGTTACAACACTAGACATTTCCATGAACCTTGTTCTATTAGTGATTAGAGAGACAACTGCCTCCTCTCGTCTGTGAGAAAGCTGTAATTATCCATATATATATATCGTGCTTTCTAAAGCTCATTGTTAGTTCCTGATGCAAATAAAATAAAATCTGTGATGTAACTCTGGGATCTGGATAAGAATAGCATGTTTCTTAAGTTTAGTCTTATTTTTCATACTAAATGACTTAACATTAGCCTGTACAAAAGGCCACGTCATTCAGCAATTTTAAATAAATTCATTTCAGTTTTAGAGTAATTCAGTCACAGAGGCTCATCCCTCTGTGGTTTCTGAAGGTTTCTTCTCCCTTCAAGAGAAGCACATACTCTACTTTAAAACATAAGTGAAAGACTGTTGTGAGAAACTGATACTACAAAATTAAGATTTTAACTTTCAGGTAGCTCATTCAAATTAGTAGATGGAATAAAATAAAAACGTGCAGCTTTTTAGTTAAATTGCAGTAAATAAATGTAAAGCATCAGTTTTACCCTGTTGGACAATGTAAAGGGGCAGACGTAAAAGTGGTTGTTGGTAACATTCATCAAACGCCACAAAAATGCCAAGCCTCTTACAAAGTCTTAATGCTCAAACACTTAAGAACACATGAGAAAATTTTCTGCCACTGGTCTTATCCATAAAAAAGAATTTTCACTCTAAGTATCTTTATCCAAAGTAAACTTACACACAAACCTGAAATTAGCAAGAGGAATCTCAAAACACTATTTTGCACTATTTGTTGGACTTTCCTTATCTAATATTCCAACATAATTATAATGCATTTTCTCACCTTTAAACTAGAGATTTAGAAACAGCACTATTACTACTAATACTTCTACTCTCCCCTAAAATGAAAATAAATGGAAAAAGGTCCTTGGTAGTCCAAATTTTAATCCTTATTACATCGTTTCAGCCTTAAATAATCTCCTCTGAAGTAATGATACAATAAATATT